GAGCCCCGCGCCGCGCGCCGGGCCCGCGTCTGTCCGCGCCCCGTTGCGTGAGGGAAGGGCAGAGTCGCCTCAGGTGTGCTCGTCTTCCCTGCACAGCCGCCCGCGCTTCAAGGTCGCCGGGGAGAAGGAGGAGCGGGGTGCTCCTCGTCTCGGGAGGGTGAGGGCGTAGGGGTCGGTCAGGTGCAGCAGTGTTTCCTCCCTGAGTTGTAGCTCTGTTGTTGTTTAAAGCAGTAGGTGCCTTCGGTATAAAAGGTGGGTGTGCGTGTGTTTGCTTGTTGGAGTAGGTCTTTCGTCATAAAATTCTGCGGGAAGCAGTGTTTCTGTCTTTGTTATGTGAGGGTTAATTTTTTTCTAGTTGTGCTGATGCTGTTTGTAGCTTGGTAATGTTGTTAGGCTGCCACGCTGGGCAGTGTAAAGTGGTGTTAGAAGCGGTGCTACTTTTTATCCCGTGAGTTAAAAGTTCTGTACTCCCTTAAGAACTCAGTCATTGTATCTCACTAACTATGGGGGGGGAAAAACAGGCGTATATTGAAACCGCTTTTAAGCTTTAAATATTTACCATCTAACCAGTAACACTTGTAATTATATAAAGCTTTGTTACTTTGTTGTGCTTAAGATTTAGTGTGCCAAAGCTCGAAGCAAAGGCAGCAATTAACATTTCCAAATTCCTGAATTGAGGTTATTTTTATATGTTTTAAGTTCACAAAGTAAGACTTTTGTTTTGTGTTGTAGTCAGCTGCTGCACTGTAATTAAGGATATTAACATTCAGCTTCAGCTGTTCGGTTCTGTGATTATAGAGTAAAAAAAAAAAAAAGGATTTCTGGAGTATATTTAAAATAATAAATTATCTTTACCTAGGTAGATGCCAGTTTGCAATGGGTCTTAAAACCATCTGGAAGGACTACAAAGTTCTGATTGTTATGGGAACTGGCCTTGGGCTGGTGCACTGGGGCTGGTTTTACATCAAGTCCAGTCCTATTTTCCAAGTGAAGACAGAGGACTTTGTTCCAGAACCTGGGATTGTGACATACATGATGCAAAGCGATCACAAAAATAAAGAGAAATAGCATTAGTACTGGGTATTGTAGGTAAGTTGCCTAATTAGTTGTATCTGTGTCTTTTGAGAGATGAGATGAGTCGTTTAAAATGAGGAATTTTAAACAGATGCAGCCTTGCTGCTCTAACTTCCATCTTCCAGAGTTTTATGCTTCTTTGTAGCTGTGTTAATCTTGTAGCTACGTGGACCGAAAAAAGCATCATAAATCCCAAAAATGACTGCTAAATCCCATGTGATGGGATCAATTAGGTGATGGTATTATGCATCTTAAATGTATACAAACAAACTCCAGTAACTTCAAGGCAACAGCCAAACTGTTGTGGCTGTCTGGGTCTGCAGCAGTGTCCTTTCAGGCTCAAAATTGCCCAGAAATAATTGTGACTTTAAATAGTCACATATTCTGTGGTAGTAGGGATGATGGTTACAGTAGAAAGTTAAACAATTAACTATGAGAAGTTTAAATACTTCTCATAAATACTGTAGAGATTCCCTAGAAATATGAATAAATACCCTTTAAAGTTTTGAAGTGTTTCAGGAAGTGAAAAAATTTCATGTTAGGCATCTTGAAATGAGTATTTCTTTGAGTCATATTTCTCAAAGTTGTTTGAGCATGAAAAGCTGTTGTTTCTAAAGTGGTGGCCTGGAAACCAGTGCTGGGCAGTTCAGTTCTGTTCTTGAGTGAAAACAGGTGAATGTAACTACAGTTTTGACACTTTAGTACAATCCAGTGAAGTTTATGGTAGTAGGTTACTTAGAGACCTGCAGGTAGAACAGTACAGACTGGTGGTCAAAAAGTTACTAACAGGTGGTATAATTGGTGTACTCTATGTTTGTAGTAAGTGGCATATTATTAGGTTTTCTCAATTAAAAAGCATTATAGCCTGTATAGGCCAATGGTATGAGGCACAATAAGGCGAAGTGCTGGTCCTGCACTTGGGTCACAAAAACCTTGTGCAGTGCCACAGGCTGGGGGAAGAGTGGCTGGAAAGCTGCCCAGTGGAAAAGGACCTGAGGGTGCTGGTCAACAGCAGTTTGACGTGAGCCAGCAGTGAGCCCGGGTGGCCAAGAAGGCCAACGATATCTTGGCTTGTATCAGCAATAGTGTGACCCCAGGACCAGGGCAGTGATTGTCCCCCTGTTCTCGGCACTGGTGGGGCCACACCTGGAGTACTGTGTCCAGGTCTGGGCCTGTCGCTGCAAGAAAGACATTGAGGTGCTGGAGTGAATCTAGAGATGGGCAACAGAGCTGGGGAAGTGTCTGGAGCACAAGTCCTTTGAGGAGAGGCTGAGGGAACTGGGGTTGTTTACCCTGGAGAAAAGGAGGCTCAGGGCAACCTCATTGCTCTACAGTCACCTGAAAGGAGGTTGTAGTGAGGTGGGAGTCAGTCTCTTCTCCTGAGTAACAAGGACGGGAGGAAATGGCCTCAAGTTGTGCCAGGGGAGTTTAGACTGAATATTAGGAAAACTGTCTTCATAGAATGACTTGTGAAGCACTGCAACAGGCTGCCTAGGAAAGTGGTGGAGTCACCCCTGGAGGGATTTAAATGACATGCAGATGTGGCACTTAGGGACATGGTTCAGTGATGGGCTTGGGGAATGTTTGGACTCGATCTTTAAGGTCTTTTCCAGCCTAAATGATTCTGTGATTCAGTATTTGTCCTTATGTGACTTTTTTTAATGAAAAACAAATAAGCAGTTCAAGCTATGCAATATTGTAATAAGATTATCCTAATACTTTTCTGGTTTGTTTTGTAGGTGTAACTAACCTTGAAGCTTTTCATCTGTGAGTGTTGCCAGAAGAGATGAAGAAAACTAGTTGGAGTAGAAAGAACTTTCTGCTTGTAGCAGGACTGTCACTTATAGGTGTCCATTTAGGAACCATGCTCGTGAACTTTGTTGCAAAAAAATCTGCTCAGTCACATTCAGAAGCTAAAAAAGATCGCCATGAGTGAAACAGCTTCCTGTTGTCATTATGTATCGATTTTGCTGCATTATTTAAGCCTTATTTTAAGAGAGATGATGAGGAATGTTGTTGTACTGTATGTACTGTTTGACACTGAAAATAATTCTTAGTTGCAAAGAATTAAAATATACTACTTTTAAAATTTAAAAGTGCAATGGATTATAGATCCCAGTAAAAATAAATTGTTTTGTTGCCCAGAATTAAAACCTTACTTTGAAAATGTCTCGTCTTGAAGCTACAAATCCTCCATTATTTATCACTTTAACTAAAGATACAGCAAGTCAGTCACTGTCTCTGCTGAGTAGAATATTCAGATCTTCCTATGGTCCTGATGGTAGACTCAAACAGCTCCACAACGGTATGGGAGGCTGTGTTTGTACAACTTCCCAGTCCTCAGCTATGCTCAGGCACCTTTCCGTCAGCCATCCCGTGCTGCGTGTGGTGACAGCCTCTGTACGCAGCCACGTGTCACGCCTCAGCGACTGCGGCTTGTTCACTGCCATTCTTTGCTGTAGTTTGATTGAAAACTTTAGAAGCCTGAATGTTGCACCCGGCACTGTCGTTAGAATAAGCACACATCTGTTGAGTTTGTGCATGGACTACCTTAAATCTGAGGCTTGTTGTTGCCGAGTGTCTGTGGATTTTAGCAGCGTTCAGACTCTCGTTTGCTTGGTACGTAGCATTTTAACAAGCAAACCTGCTTGCATACTTAATAAAACAGAAGTTGATCATCTCACCATGCTGATTGTAAAGGCTTTTTTATTTACTGTTCCATGTCATGCTGAGACTAATGCTGTTTTAGGGAAGTGTGTAATAGTACCTGTGAAAGGTAGAAGAGTTGTGGATTCTACGCTCCTTCCTGGACTACTGATAGAAGCACCAGAAATTCAATTGGCAAAACCACTTACTGTCAAAAGGACTGGTTCAGATAGGATCAAGATTGCACTTTTCTGTGTGTCCATGTCAGGAGACTCCTTCAACCCTGAGGAAGGAACTATAGCAGTCCATCACGGAATTTCACTAGAAATGTTGGAGCTGAACCAATTGCTTAATGTAGGGGAGCAGCTCGTTAAGGATGAGGTTGGCCTTGTAGTGTGTCAGAAGGTGATCCATCCATCCTTGAAACAGTACCTGAAGGAGAACCATGTCCTTGCTGTGGACAGAGCTGGGCTGTCTCTGATGGAACCCCTGAGTCAGATGACAGGTAACAGGCGAGTTTCCTGTGCTGAACAATTGTCCGGAAGTTTTCACTATGAGATGATTGTTATCTAGGGTGATGTCATTGCAGACTGAGGGTTCTTATTTCTGTCTGTATCTTGCCTTAGCAGCTGAGCAAGAGTTGTTCTTTCCTAGTCTGAAAACCATTTTTTAAGGTGAAGTTGGTCTTTTGCAGGCTTTGATGATGACACACTGCATGTGTGATTGCTGCTTGCTGCATGAGGCCTATCCAATTAGAGAACTGTTTATTTTCAGACTCTTAATTAGAATACAGCAATTACATTTCTTATCTCAAACTATCACCAAGTCTTGCACTTTGAACATGTTGGTTTCTGTTTGATTTCCTGTGTAGACTGAAGTGTCAGATATTGAAGAATAAATATAAACCCAAGGGGGATAAAGTGCATGCTTTATGCAGCGCTACAGAGAGCTGTTCTGATGATGGTAAGACTGTTCTCTGCTTTTCTTAACTGACAGGTTCAAAGCCTATAGCTTCCATACATTTGTTGTCTCCTGGTTGTTATGGCAGTTTGAAAGATGTGTGCGTTGAGAGTTTTGCTTCAAAGCATTTTGTGCATCTAATTCCGGAGGACACAGTTATCTGCAGCTTGATACTCTGTAACAGAAGTGATACAGCGTGGGATGAGCTGAAGGTAGGCAAATTTTCTTGAAATTTGTCTTGGGAAGTCATGTTTTTAATGGAAAAACAAAGTGATGAAAAATATAGCTATGGTGAGTTTAGAAAAGTGACTTTTCAGTACGTAAATGGAACAGTACGTAAGAGTTTAGGTATGCGAGTTCAAGAAAGCAGTTCAGAAACACCTTTGTTTCCAGAATTGCAAAATCCTTGAAGTGCTTACATGCATTTAATGCTTCTCTTAATACAGGAGGTTGTTTAAAGACCAAAACATTTTTCACCTGTTCTTGAGGCCAGTGCTGGATAGATATTTTCATTCTCATTACTTGGTCTATGAGAGCATAAAAATACAAACTGGCCAGCAAAGGGCCAGCAGCAATACTTGCAGTGGTAGTCAAGCATAGTTTTGCATTGAGTAGTTGTTCTGGAAATGTCATATTGATTGGTTTTTTTTATATTACCTGTTTTGCAAAAAGAAGGAATAAAAAGCATCTTTTTTATTTCTGCTTTCCCATAGCGTGGAATAATAAAGACAACTTTTTACTAAGTAAATATGGTTTTGGAAATCACTCAGCAGCTTTATATCCACGTGCAATTGAAGTTTATGAAACCTGTCCCAGAAACTACTGAAAATTTTATTCCAATAGTTTTTTCAATGGGGGCAAATCCTCTTAATCCTGGTATGTCTAACAAGAATTTCATATGGTTCGCAGCGTGTCTGTGAAACTGCAGAACATGTGTTGCAGTTAACAATGAAGGAACCTTTGGCATTATTAGGAGGTGGTTGTACAGAAACTCACCTGGCTTCATACATAAGACACAAGGTATGTAAGACAAGTTTTTTTTAAAGCTACTTAATCTACTCAGGAAACAATAATTTATGTAGAATCACTGCTACAGTTAAAACACTTGTCTCTTCCAGATTAATGTGGTGTTTTTGCTAACTACTAATATAAAGCAAAGGGGAATATTTCAAGTGTTAATTACATCTTTCAGACTTGTTAATACTGTGTTCGTACTTGGTGATCTTTCTTTAGTATCTATTATAGTAAGTGCTTTAGTATCTTATAAGAAGTGCATATTTTTAAGTGTTAAAAATGTGTAGAGTGTTTTATATTGAAAGATAATAACGTAGAATGCCACTTTGACTTTAGAAATATTTTCTATCATGGAATAATCATGACAAACATTTTTTAGTTAGAACTGAGCCATCTGTTTTGAAAAAAAATGCAACAGTATGATACATGTTTAAAATAATTTTCAGAAAATAGTGTTCTGACTTTGTTTTCTTGATTTTGGTTCCTTTTTTTTAGAGTTCTAGTCTGTCCAGCAGCAGTTTTAAAGACCTAGATTGTTCTCAGACACAGTACCAGTTGGTTGCTGATGGGTTTTGCCGTTCCCTGGAGTCTGTAGCTCGCTCTCTGAATCATGATGATGGAGAAGTTCTTACAGACATGGTTTATGGACACTGTTGGTTTGTTCCATCAGGTTATCCCTCTGTCTCAAAGTGGTCAGATTTAGTTTCAAAATGTGGGTGTGGAGTTAATGATAACACAGAGGACCTCAACTGGAGGCTTTTGCAAGGCCAGTCTGGCTCTCCTATTATACAGAGCTGCCCTAAAGAGTCGTCAGTAAAGGTTAATGACTTCCTGACATTGGACTGTTTTGCTGCAAAGTGTAGTGGCCTGCAAGTAGCTCTGGAGACAGCCAATCTGATTTTGGATCTCTCATATATAATTGAAGATCAAAATTAGCTCTGATCTTACATGAATTGTGCTGCACAGCAAGGTACTAAATTGAAAGCAGGGTAATATATAATGTGTTAAGATACTTCAAGTGGTCAGAATGTGGACAACAGACAGAAATTGTAAACTGAACAGTTTGCCCTTAAATCCTCTTCTCATTAATCTACTGTGCTCTCAAGCATTTTCAAATGTGTAACGTGCCCCCTCTGCATTAGGGAAAGTTTGGGATGTTGGTTAGCTCTGTAGCATCTTCAAAGGAATGGGAAAAATGGATTCACTTGCTGAGAAAACACATAGATTAGAATTATGTAGTCTCAGCAAAAGCTTTACACATTCAGACAGACTTTTGTATTGCAGCAGAGTTTTATCACTGGTATTTGTAAATTTGTAGGTAAAAAAGGCTTTCCTTAGCAAATAGCTTGAGCCACTTGTTTTCATTTTTTGTTCTGAAGATCTTGTCACTGTATACTATATACAGTTTCTAAGTGGCTGGAAGATTTAAATTCATATATGTAATTTATTTAGCAAGTTATAAAAATAACCTGGAGCTCTGAAGGTAACAGGTAGGTAATAGATTTGAAAAGAAATGGCAGACTGGGTGAAAAACTTTTGTAAAGTGGACCTTGGTCGTCTTTTGTGTAATACAGGACAGTCTACAATGAAGTTTCTCTCATTTAAGCAAAGCTGCAAGAAAGAATGTCCCACTTACCATTCAATTAACTTTTTGACTGTGCATGGCTTCTTTTAATGAAGTAAGGCTTTAAGCTGCTCAGGCTTGTTTTGATCTTTAAATAAGACTGTACACTCAGTGATCAAAATTTTTTCTCATTCTCAGCTCGCATGCGAGATCAAAAGGGGTGTTACAGTTTCTTGCTTAAACTCATTTTCTTTGCCACTTTTCTTCTCCCTCTGTTTTCAGTCACAAGGGACAAATTGTTTATGGTGTGCTTTTCCAGAAATCGGTTATAGTCTAGTCTTCTTGTTTGTTTCCTGGTCTCTTAAGTTTTTAATATATTTACTGAGTATAAGCAGCAGAACTGTTTTGTGTAACTCAGTTTTGAAATATGTAATTAAAACCAGATCTTTACAGACCTTTTGTGCAAAGTCCTTTTAATTTTGAGAGTATAAATAATCATCATCTCACTGGGGAAAAAAATGAAAAGCTATTTAAAGTTCTTTATCTTTTTAAGACCTGAAATGATTGCTTCAGTGCTATAAGACATCCTTTGGGAGCTTGTGAAGAATGTTACATGGGTTGAGATGGAGGCTGTTCAAAGCTGGTTACTGTTTTCATATCTTGATCTTCCCATATACCATGAACCATATGAAAACACCAGGAATAATGAAGCCAAATGATGATGTATATCTTAAGGCACAGATGAATCTTGGTAATGCATCATGTCATTATGAGTCTCTAACTCAGAGTGCTGAATTCAAGTATTTTGCTTCCTATGATAGTAGCTTGTTATGCAGTGCAAAAATGTTGAATTTAGTGACTGCAGCTGTGCAGTGAAAATTAAAACAATATCTGAGTAGAAGTAGTTGTGAGGGTTCTTTTGTCGGTGTCTGAAGGTCGGTGCACAGCTCTTAAAGTCATTGTTAGCTCTGATTCTATTTTTCCCCCAAAGGAAATCAGATTAGAAAACTATGAAAAAATTAAATTAAATTTATTTTTGGTATGTAGCTGAAAATTAATATCTACCTGAACTAAAGATTGTTTCATATTTTAGAGTTTTAATAACTATTTTTTGTCTCCCACTGACTGAAAAGCATAAATAAACAGCTGGTTCTGCTGCTTATGGACAGTTCAGGTTCAGTTCTGCTGTGCTACAGTCTTGAACCTTCAGTGGTTAGAGTTACCTTATCTTTAATGGTTAATAAGAGCAATATAACTTCAGATACTGTTTAAAATCCAAGTAAATAGGATTTTGACTCTCATCCAACAGCAACATAAAGTAACTTTTTTGAACTTCAGTGTTTTCTGATAAAATTTAGGTGTAAAACTTTAGGTTTCCCCCTGTGTTTTAAAGCTGACAGAATGAAATATCCCCAGTTGTAAGGCCTCTGAGAAGCCACTGTTGTTTTGTTCCTCTTCCACTTGGCATGTAAAGTTTGTTCAGTGGGAAAGATTAGCATTACACAAGTTTTATTAAGGGACAAGTGTTTTCCAATCATTACCTCAGGTCTGATTTCCACAGGTTGCTGAAAGGCCATTGATTTAAACTTTAATAATTCTATTGATAATGCACGAGAAGTAAGAAAATTCCTCTCCAACCTTCTCAGCTGTGTCCATGCTCCAGGCCTAGCAGGAGTGAAAAAGAAATGCTGATAATTATAATCACTCAGGTCAGCATATTTAAGTAAGATGCCAGGTTAATATAGTTGCTCCTCAGTTCAGTATGTGTTAAGTATTTCAGTTCTCATTTGATATTTAAAACTTGGAAGTGCCAATACCTGAAAATGCTGATTAATTTAGGGATATTTATTTCTATTATTGTGTCATATTTCAAGTAGACACACCATTAAACATTACTGTTTTGACATGAATGCAAAATACCTGCTTTTCACTGATTCTGCTACTGGTTTGTGAGTTCGTAGAATCCCTCTGAGCCATGTCTGAGGTCTTTGCCTGTCTATTTTCCTATCTATCTATAAAATGGGAGCAAAGGTTTGTGGGTGAAGAGTTGTAAGATCCAGATGTAAAGTGAAGAACTACTTGCTGCACAGGAACAAAGAAAGAGATATTAAAAAAAAACCCCAAACTCAAATCCTTGCTAAAATATTAGAGTCATTTCATTAAGGGAACTTTGGCCAGGATTTATTTTACACTCCTTAAACTAGACTGCTGAGTAAAACACCTCTGTTCTCCTTGTACATTGAACCTGGATGCATTTTCTTTTTCTCTAAAGTTTCAGCAGCAGTGTATCACTGGTGCTAACAGTGATCTGATTTATTGCTTTGCATCTTCAGTACACACACTGAGAGAAATGTGACCTTAGAGCTCTGTGCAGGAATGGTTGAAATTCAAGATGAGCATTGTCAGACACATCAGCAATCCTTATAGTATCATGTATGTCGTCAGAGTCTGTGCTCTGCATTTCAGAGCAGATGTTCATATAATGCTAATACTTGAAGACAGAGTAGAAACAGATATATTACTTTTGGAAACCTAACCTTGCTATATTGATAGTGTAACACTGATTTGTTTTTTGTTTATTAAAGTGTTTGGGCATTTTTAGGCTGACCAGCTGTTACAGTGTTAGATCTGTCTCGATAGAGAGGGGAAGAGAGTATTTATTGCTGTCAAAGCTTGTAAGAAAATTAGTGCCTGGAATTTCACGAGCACCGAAGAGCCTGTGCAAAACAATTCGCCTTACCCAAAACCTGAACTTCGGAATTTTACTTGTGCCCTTATTCTGCTGTGCTGAGGAACAAAATGTATTATTTATCGCGTTTTCAGAAGTGCCATGTGAACCAAGTCATGTAAGTACTACACTCTTCAGTCTCAGAAAATTCAGTATCTGTGAGTCAGTCAAGTCATAGGAAGCACTATAACTGGATTTGCATTTGCTGCTGTTACGAAGATGCAAACCCAGTTATTTTTATTGCAGGGGCAGTGCCTCCAGCATGCTTATAACCTGTGCAGACAAGGCCTTTTGGGAAGTCAGCTGCTAGTCACATTACGGTGTTTATTTCTAGAATGTTAGTATCCTTTATCCATTATTGTAAATATGAGTTATTTCTACCTGTTTGCCAGCAGAGACAAGTTGCACAATAACTTTCTGGGCAGTAACACTGATCTTAAATTCTCAGTCAAGAAACACCTCTACTTTTTGTCTGTATACATTGCACGGTATGAATTAGTCTTGCACCTTATAAGCTCAGAAACATATACAGATTTATTCTGTATGCTTTAAGCAGAAACACAGTCACAGTTTATGTAGGCAGAGCCATTATGTCATTAGTCCAGACACCAATAAAATTGATTGCAGAATAGGTTCCAGGATTGGGCTGGGCACTTTGTATCTTTAACTGTGCTGACTTCCACTATTCTGGACTTAGCCTTTAAACATATGTACAGATCTTGTAGACATACCTCCTGCAGGATTTTATTTTTGTGCCTTACTGCAAACATCTTTATAAACTTGAACTTTCATATCTGCTTGTACGTGAGAATCTTCTACTCCAGCTTTCATCGTGTGCCTGGAAGGCCACAGCTCTGCTGTCTGCAAACTTGATTACTGGTGTCTTTGTTATTTTCTGTCCTGACGACATCAGCTCTCTTCAGGTATACATTTAATACACATGAAATACTACCTGCTTATTGTTATAATATTATATGTTGTCTGCTGAACATTTGTGTGGTAGCATACAGCAACTTCGGCAGCTATTCCTTATTGGTAACTTTCTTTTTAGAAACCATTAAGTCTAGTCTTTTCTCCCTTAAGGCTTTATGATATTAGTAATCTGATATGTTATACCTGGTGAGTATTGGGTTAAAAAAAATGAGGTTGTGAGGAAAACGAGTTCCCTAATCTGTTGTGATTGGCAAGATTCCGAGTCACCACTTTTGTGTGGGCTACACAGGTTCCTCTGCTGATAGATGGTACACTCAGGTGATGGCCGAGTGATTTTTTTCAGGCAATTGTAGGGACTGTGGTACTTCCAGTTCTTGGAAGACTTTGTGCCCGTGAGAGGCACAAGCAAAGCTATTTCACCGTCATTACTCCTTTTTCACACATCAGTGGACCCTAAGATGTAGCAGGGTTCGTCTTGGGGGTTTTGGGGTACATTTGACTGGATTATGGGTGTGCTTTTGCAGGTGAATCTCTGTGGGTTGTCCATGGCTGGCTGCTAGGTGCCTGTCCACCTGCTTGCTCACCTCTCACCTCAACAGAGGGAGAAAACAGAGTGAAAAACCTCCTGGGTCAAGATAAATCTCCTCCCCTCGTGTTTCCCATGCTTTCCCCCTATATTCTTTGCTGCAAAGCAGCATTTTGCCTTTTCCT